TATTTAGGTTGATATTCGACAAACATTCTTGACGTCTGTTTATAATTGATTTCTATTTCTTTAATAAAACTATAAAAGAGAAAGAAAAAAGAACTATAATATATATATCAAAAGAATCTTTACGGCAAAGAATACGGACTTTATATTTATATGTACGCGAAAAATGTAGTGTAAGAAACATTATTTAAAAAATTAACAAAGATAAATGATTGCATTTTCTATAGTTCTATACAGGTTTAAAGTTCTTTTCATTACTGTAAGAAATAAATTTTTAGTTATCTTTACATCTCTAATGTCTCACTATTAGAAATAGAAACTGAAATATTGTTCTTTTTTAAAGGTTAGTTTTAAATAGAGTACATTATAGACTTTGAAAATGATCAAGAATATCAAATTGGAACCTATTTTGATACAATAGTTATTGATAAAAAAAAGACGTACTAAAATTTGGAGATGTATAGTAAGTAGACATCCTTTTACTCAGTCGAATTACTGATGTGGGTGTGGACAGGTGTAGATGTAATATAATACCCACACCCACACCCTCAAATTTTTCTTATTTGAATTCGAAATTATCTTTGAAGATACAAAATATTGTTTTACTATAATTTGTAAATGACGATTCACATAAAGATCTTCAGCACCAATCTTTTATATACATATACGAAAAAATATCGGAGACAAATTGTACTCAACAGACCAAAACCTACAATGCAACTAGAAATCATATTTTTCTCAGGACAATGGATTCTATTATGAAAACATCATTTTAATATTGTAGACTAAATAGAAAGATTATAGCGATGACTACCGTTAAATAATATCTAAAAATGACCGAAGTAGAAGAAGAAGAATAGATGAATACACTACTTACGAATCTAAACGAAAATATGAGGAGCACACATTTTTATTTCTTTTCTTTGCAATGAATCACTCAAGCATGAAACACCGATCTTTTTAATATAATGAAAAAAACAAGCAATCGATCAATTACAATGAGTCGTAACCACCACATGTTTTGATTGTACAAGCAATAAACATTACCTGTACTATGCGTATAGAGAAAAGAAGAAAAATGTATGTTTCGACGCGTTAAAATATAAATTTTAACACAAAGATCTTTCTACCAATATTCTTTAATGTATGAAGGGTGGGTTTGGATGCTAGTAGGTATTATTTTTATCTCAAATATCAACTCAAACCCATACCATAATTAGTAAAAGCAAAAAAATTTAATCTTCAACAATTCATATTGATTCATCATGTATATCAACAAAAAGATCGACCATATAAAGCAAAAAATTTTATTTAATGAATCATTTTTGTAACGATTTCTACTGTCGATGTCGATTCTTCTGATTGAAAAAATCTTCCTTGTGATAATAATTATGATACACTAATATATAGCTCGTAACTTTAATGTTAACTATTACAGTACCACTGATATTTTGTAATGAACCTCTACCTAATTTGTATCATTTTTCTATGATATATTCATTTGAATTCAATCTATTCGTTTATTCCATAGTTCCTGTTTAATTTATATAGAAATAAATCTCTAATCATTGCATAATGAATGTATAAATCAAAAGTTGAAAATATGATTTTCATGAAATTATCTCAATTTGCTATATTTATGATAATATATTCGAATTATATGAATCCAAAGATTGTTAGTTAGTAATCATACAAAATATTTTTCTTTAGATATTTTATATCGTATTATGAAATTCTTCATTCAGTAAAAGAATATCTAAATTAATATTTTAACAACAGCTGTGAGCCGTAACGATAAATGTTTAGTGTAATTTATTTCTCTTATTTTTAATATTTTTTCGTTAATTTAAAGTTTAATGATGTGTATTTGTTGTTCTCTGATCTTATGTATTTAATATGTAAGAATATATTCTTATTCATGTTTAAGTGCATTTTTACTAATGAAATTATTTATAATATTGATAATCAAGCATGTCAAATTCCATTCCAAGATTTTTTAAAATAATTTATTCATTAATTTGTATTTATTTATTTTAAATTAGTTTTATCTATGAAAGAAATGAGTAAACATGTAAGATTTTATTTCATGTTCAAGATACAGTTATATTATGAGTAGGGTATGAATGCATGTAGACTACACCATTTATCCACATGTACAAACGTTTAATTTTTAGACTTTATTACAAAGGGATAAGATACAAAGAGGCTAAATGTATAAATGTCAATTGTTCTTGTCAACTTTTTCTATTATTATTTTGATGTCTAAAGACGTCGTTTCAAGTTTGTCGAGGTGAATTCATAATAATACGGAGAAGTACTGTGTGTTATTTGCAAGATTAACCTAGATTATTTGTCTAGGAGACTAAGTCTCCACAATTTCGTGCTCTATTTGAAGCACATCATCAGAAATGTCAGTGAAGGATATGAGGGAAATAAGAAATAGAAAATTAATATTAAATTCCAACATCAGATGAGTGTGAGTTCATCTTGTCAAATTTGTAAGTGAATTTTGTGTTTGTTCTTTTATTCATGGTTAGATTGCATATGTAAAATCCTTATCTTCTTCGTTGTACATCTTCATATTAGATAAGAATAGGTAATATCTTTAAAAAAGAAAAGATTCTTTTGTTACAATTATTAAAAAGGGTAAGTCATAGTTTTAAATAGATCAAAGTTAATGTTTATTTTCTTATATATCTATCATTGTTTTCTGAAACAGTCTTAAGATCAAATGAGAGAAGATTTGGGCACAATATATTTTGAAATTCGACTCATTTTGCTTGTCATTTTAATTCGAAGTGATTGATAAACATTTTTTGCTTTTAGAAAAGTTTCGGTCGATATTATATGGAGTATCCAAATAAAAAAGTCGAAGAAGTCCAATCGGATGGTGAAGAAGGAAATGTCCTGGTAGTATCATCTGTCTTAGAAAATAGAGAAAAGTTAAAACGATCAATAAGATGGTTGGATGCATTTTGGGTATCAAGTGGTGTACCTGCACTTGTCCTATTTTCTATTGGCGCTATTACTGCAACTGTTGGAAATCCATCTTGGTTCGTTTGGACAAGTTCGATCATTATTGGCTTTTTACAATCATTTGTCTATGCAGAAATTGCTGGACTATTTCCAAATAAGTCGGGCGGTGCATCTATCTATGGTGCTATTGCTTGGGTACGATATGGAAAGATCTTAGCACCTATATCTGTTTGGTGCAATTGGTTTGCTTGGTCACCGGTATTAGCAATCGGAACTGGATTAAGTGCTGGATACATTCTCAGTATGTTTAATTCTAATGCATTAATAAATACATGGAAATTTAAAATTGTTAGTCTTCATTTTATAAAAACAGATCTTTCATTAAGGATTGATTCAACTTTTGTTGTTGGAGCAATATTAATGTTAATAGTATTTGGTATACAACATCGAGGAATTCTTTCAGCTGCAAGGATTCAAATGATCTTTGCTATCTGTTCATTACTACCGTTAATTATCTTAGGTATAGTTCCACTTTTCATGGGTAAATTTCATAGTAAACATTTTATTCCATTCGTTCCACTTATGCGTGATGCAACAAATAATGTGACTAGTGGACGTTGGGATAGAGTAGGTATAACGTTATTTGCTGGTGGAATGTTCATTGCTGCTTGGTCAACGTATGGTTTTGAAACAGCTGTCTGTTATACAAGTGAATTTAAAAATCCTGGATCCGATACATTCAAAGCGATATTATCTTCAGGTTTATTATGTTTATTCGTCTTCACTCTAATTCCAATTACATTTCAAGGAACACTTGGTCTTAAAAGAATGTTAGAACCGGATATCTATAATGGAATGGGAGTTGCCAAAGCCATGGCTGACATGATCGGAGCCGGAAATATAATGATCAATATTGTAGTTGTATTATTATTATTATCACTTTTACTCTCGATTATGACTGCTATGGCAGGATCTTCACGTACACTTTATCAAGGTTCAATTGATGGTTGGCTTCCAAAGTTTTTATCTCATGTCAATCAATATGGTGCACCAACATCTGCAATGTGGACTGATCTCAGTTTCAATTTAATCCTCTTGCTAATGTCTGATTATGTATTTATTTTGGCAGCATCAAATGTTGGATATATCATATTTATTTTTATGAACTTGAATGCTGTATGGATTCATAGAATCGATCGTCCACAATGGAAAAGACCATTTAAGGCGCCTATTTGGTTACTTCTAATTAGTGTCATACTTAGCTATGTAAATCTTGTCTTTCTTGGAATGGGATCAGACATATGGGGAACTGGAACACTCCTTACAGGTTTAATATTTAGTTCCTTAGTCATTCCAGTCTTTCTTTTTCGTCATTATATTCAAGATAACGGTACTTTTCCTCTTTCAATAACAGACGACAACAATCTCGATGGTAACAAAACTGTAACAAACCATGCTAGTATACTTCCGTATCTTGCCCTTGCGATGGGTATCGTGGTCGTTATTGTTTCGCGTCTTTTTGCTAAGTACTAAACTCGGACACGCTTACATTAACAATACTGTAGATTCTTATTTAAAATTATTGATTTTTATCATTAGTTTATATATGAGTTAATTAGGAAATAAATTAGATGAACCAACATATTCGATTAATATTATTCTTATGATTGTCTCTCTTTTTATTGTTTTGAGGATGGGTGTGGATGGTTTTTTCGTCTGTACACTAGCAATCTCATTAACGATCATATTCACAAACCTGATTATAATGGAAATTTACCCATGAATATCATTTAATATTTATTTTTGTATTAATCTATCACAATAAAATAAAACTTAACAGATAATGTACAATACAGTTTAACAAATAAAACAAAATATGAAATTATTTATAAGTTGATAGGAAGAATATTCATCCAAACTACATCCTCGTGATTCATATGTAAGTCTACTAACTACCGTGTTTCAAATAGATTTATATTCATAACTTCATCCAAACCTACACTCTTGCATTTCCAAATTATTTATCTTTAACTAACTTGAAACTCAGGATTAATAAATATTCTTCCTCGATTTTTTTCTCGTATACACAAATGAAACGGCACATGTTCACAAGTAGTTCTACCATCGTATTTACAGTTATATGTCGAATTTACTTTGTACAATCCAGCACCATTAAAAGCTGAACGTACTTCGATTAAACCATGTTCAACTGGAATACGCCTTTTATGAATTCCAATAATTCCATTAAAAATTGATGGATGACAATAGTTGCTCAGAGATAATTCCAAATTGAACACTTGATTCCAAACATCATAATTCATAACTGAATCAGACAACGTACGTAATGCCCAAATATCATAATAGGTATCATGTGCTGTTGCTGTCATGACTGACCATTGGTTTGTGTCATACTGGAAATTTGAAAGAAAAGAAGAAATGGGTGTTGGAAATCTATCTAAATCAACAACAAAAATGTAATCAGGTAGTAAAAGATGTGCCTTATCCATTAGCATATTTCGACAATAAGCAA